TATATATGTATATATATACACATAAATAAAATATTTAATAATAGATATTGATAAAAGAATAATAAAATACTTTACATATGAATGACAAAAATTAATATTTATATAAATATTATTTTATTATAACATATTATACAGATAAGAAATTACTAAGTTGAGTACTGAAACTATGCACTTTTATTTATATTATATATTTAATATAAAAATTAATTTCTACTATACATTTCGGTAGAAGTTTCTTCCTCGTGACTTGTCTCCGATAAAACTGACCATGTTGTAGTGTTCAATTTCTTAGCGCGATTTTCCAATAAACCATAAGCAAATTGATTCAAAAGAATTCCTTTAGGTAGTGCTATACCTTGAAATCTATATAGATTTTCTTTATCCGGAATTTCATGAACAGCGGCAATCGTACAGCGTCCTACTAATGAAGTATTTCCTATCATAGGTCCTTTACTAATATCTATATGATTTCCAATTCTATATAAAGTAATTTTATTGTTGTTAGATTTTACAATTTCTGGTATTTGTGTTAATTTTATAGGATTATCCTGGAATATATCAAGTGCTATGCTTTCTGTAGTATCTATTCTCTCTATAGGTAATTCCTGATTTATTAGTTTTATATACTGAGCAGATAATGCACGCATTTCTTGATCTGTAGGCTTCCAATTAATTAAATCAAGATATACATCATATACGAAACTGCCTGATTTTATGACTGGTATTGGAAAACTATGTAAATGAATTTTTATATCTGGCTTAAATGCCATATCTATAACAGCACCCAAAATAAAAGAACAAGTTCGCCAAAATGCTGAATTCACTATTTTGTTTTCTGGACTAAGCAAATTTAATAATTTTAATTTACAGTCTGATGTTAAAGGTTTGTTCATATCCCACGGTGATCCATTAACTAAAGCAAGAGCAGATACTTTAGATAAACCTTCAGAGATATGTCTTGCACAATCTGTAGGAGTTGATATATATTTATTCATTATAAGAGTTATTTCTTCCACAGGAGATTGATATTTGACTTCTATCTTTTCAATCCTTCCTACTGCAATCCTTTGTTTTTTCTTCTCTTTTTCAAATAATAAATTTTGTTTTTCCTTTATTTCAATTTTTGAAGAATTTAAGAAGCTTTTATATCTTGATTGTATATTTGACGCTAAATATAAATTTTTATAACTGAAATATATATAAAATTTATCAATTAATATAACTAAAAAATTTAAATTATTAATTTTAAAATTTAATATTTCGTAATATCAATAATATCGGTTAAAATAGGTTATGGACATACCGTTGAAACATGTTGAAATATATATACAATAAAAATTTCTTATAGTTAATTTATGTTTTGTAAAATATATATTTTTAATAATTAATTTTATTTTGTTTTTTTCATTCAATGAAATAAAATTTAAAAACTCGACCAATCATTCATGACTGAAAACCTAGAAATAGTATATCATATATTATAATTTAAATATTCTATGAATTTATTTGTCAAAACAATTTTATCATTAAATTTTCGCATATAAAAAATTATTAATATAACAAATTTCATAATTTTTAGCATAAATTATCTAAATATAATTTAGATAATATAATACATGATTTTCTGTTATAGTTTTATGAATTATTTTTATACTTAAAAATAATTAGTAAACATAAACTTTAATAATTGCTTTTAAAATAAAATATAAAATAATTTAAAATCCATATAAGTACTTTAATAAGTACTTTAAATTAATAATAATCAACTTTTTTATAAATTTATAAAAATCTTGCAACTTAAAAGGCGGATATACATGAATGATATATAAATAATATTCAGTTTTTATGTATATAATTTGTATGAAAGAGATTCTATTTTATTCGATTTATCAAACTATCTTTTCTATTCTATATTTCTATTGTTTAAAAATTATTGTATCAAAATAAAGAACAATAATCTTTATATAACAATTAAACAATTGATTGTTATTGTCATTATTTATTCTACATACGGAATTAGTTAGGTGTATTTGTACGATGTTGATGTTCTGTCCGACATGTGGTAATGTGCTTCGAGTGGAAGAAGCTTTGGCAGGATTACGTTTCGCATGTAGCACATGTCCTTACGTATTTAATATTGAAAGAAAATTAAGCAGCCGTACATATCCAAAATTAAAAGAAGTTGATGATGTACTAGGTGGAAGCGAGGCTTGGGACAACGTTGATTCTACAGACGAACGATGTCCAAAATGTTCTCATCCACGAGCATATTTCATGCAGATTCAAACTAGATCCGCTGATGAGCCTATGACAACGTTTTATAGATGTTGCAATCCTCAATGTGCTCACAATTGGCGCGATTAAAGGTAATTTAATAATATTAATAATAATATATAAATAAATTAATTAATAAATTAATAAATATATAAACAATAACTTTATTAATCATTAAAAATTTTAATTTTTATATTTGTTAATAATTATTTGTATATCTATATATATTATATATTTGAATAAATTATTTCAATGAATTGCATCATGATATAATTTATATCACTAATAAAGTAAATTTTATCAATATCTTTTCATGATTTTCAATAATATATTTTTTTTGGAAAGATTTTGAATCATCTATTGCAAATATAATAATTATCTTTTCATTATTTAAAATTAACAAATTTTTTATTTTGCAAATATAGTTTTATTTCTTACTTGGTGGAAAGAGAACAATTATGAATATATATAAATTGGGTCCAATGATTAATTTCTTGAATGCAGCTTCAAATGAAATAGAAGTATCAAAAAATTTTAATAATCATCACTGGATATGTAAAGGAAAACGAAGTTTAGCAGTAGCTGTCACATTGTTGCAACAAAATGAAATTATAGCAATCCCAACAGATACAATATATGGTTTTGCTGGTATTGTATCAAGTACTAGCTCTATTGAAAAACTCTATGAAATTAAAAAACGTGATAAAGATAAACCATTATCTATTTCTATTAGCAATGTAAATGATATAAAAAAATGGGGTATTGTTGATCATTTACCACAAGATTTATTATCAACTTTATTACCTGGACCAATTACAATTATTCTAAAACGAACACCAGCTTTAAATCCTGCTTTAAATCCTAATCATGATACAGTAGGCATTCGGATTCCTTTTTTCAAATTTATAAATTGTGTTTCTGAAATAGTGGGACCTTTAGCTTTAACAAGTGCTAATTTAAGCAATGAAAAAAGTTGCTTATATGCTTCAGAATTTCAAAATTTATGGCCCATGTTAGGTGGAATATTTTATGATTCCACAAAATTTGGTAAATCATATTCAAAATTGAGAAAAGGATCAACAATTGTTGATTTAAGCAAACCAGGATATTACGAAATTGTTCGTGCTGGAGTTCATGTAAAAGGCATTTGTTCAATATTAAAAAAATTCGGAATATTACAAAAATGTTCCAATTAAATGCATCATTATGATCTCAATGCATTTTGATTTTTAACATTTTTAACATTTATAAACAATGTAATACAACTAACTTCAAATAAAAAAATTAAGTAATTCATAATATAATTTATAGTTTATTTATTTTTGTAAATTTTAATTATATATGATGTTATGAATGTTGTATGTATTATTAAAAATAATAATATATAATATAATGTATATATATATTAAATGTATAATAAAATAAGAAATTTTATTTTTTTGTTGTTTAAAATATATAAAAGTAAATAGCAAATATTTTTTTACATCTGTATGTTGTAAAATTATTATTTTTTATTTACGAATCTACTTATGTATACAAAGAATTCCCAATAGAGAATTCAAATCTTATAAACAAATCCACACATATGTGGTAATATATATATGTTAACAAGTATTAAACAATATTTTATATCCTGAGATACTATTCTGGTTAAATATGTTAATAATTAGTTAATGAGTATATTTTTACTGTTTTCTTTTTCTTAACAACATCATATTGTCTCTTTGACAAGATACATATCACATAGTATATTTGGGTAAGATATTATTTCATTGCTTATCAAATATTAAACGCAATTAAGAAACAAAAAGAAATTCGTTTTTTAAGCTAAATAAATAATTTTAAAGCACTAAGATTTCAGTGAATTAACAAGAAATAAATCAGTCAAGATGATAACATTTTAAAATTTAAATGTTATCATACATGCAGTCTGTGTGCATTTTAAAATGCATATTATGTTTGTTATAAGTGTATTTACATTTAAAACTTTTAACAAACTCATGATTTTTCATAAAAATTACTTGATCAATAAAATGCATTCAAACGCAATTATTAAATTAAGACTATTATACAATATAGTACATAATTTTTTACATATATTATTTGATTGAAAAATTAAATTAGGCATATTTGAGGGCCTATATATCCTTTTCTAAAAAATGAAAATTCATCATTCAAATTTCTAAAAGTGTAATCTAAACATTCATTTATGCTTCATTAATATATTTAATATTATTCAAATAACAATCACTATTTAAAAAAAGAAATTTTAATATTTGTTTTTCATTTCTAATAATAGTAGAGTAAAAAATTCTATATTGAGAATTCTTTTATTTCCTAGACACTCCTACATATGTGTCTTTATCACAATATTGCGTTGTTTTTATTTTGAGTTCACATATTAAGTAAAGTTTCTTATACAAGATTGGTATGTATATTTTGAGTAAATAATTATTAAAATAGTGATTGTATAATAAATAATTAATTGTGATTAAATGATTATACATATACACACATATACACACACATACACGCATAATACACACACAAAATGTTATGTATGGTCTGTTCAGAGAATATGTTTATAAAATCAGTAAAAAACATTCATAAATGAAATTTTTCATAAAATGAAAAAAATTATAAATATTCTGAAAACTGAAACGAGCAAGTTAAAATATATGCAAATTCATATTACTATAAGATTTTAAATAATTGACAATAATTTTTGTCTAAAATGTTGAAGTTTAGTTATTCAAAATAATCAATAAAATTTCGTAATTTATTTATTTCATTAAATAATAAACTAGAAAGCAAATATATTCTAAATTCTAAATTATTAAATTATAATATATATTTATAAAAGCTAATCAATAGTTTTTATTGCTTAGCATTTTATTGCCTATAATTGAAAATTATATATGAATTTAAAAATTGACATAGGCATAATATCTACAATTGTAATAAACAAAAACAAACAATTAAATAATATTCTTATAGATATGGTTATAGATATGGTTATACTGCAAGCGAATTGTTTATTAATTTATAAAAAATTCGCATCATTGTGTAACCACAATCTTAATCGGTATTGTCAATTGACACAATAATTTATGACTATACGATATCTCTGGACGGACTATACATATGATAACATATTTGATATATATAATTGAATTTTGCTTAAATAAATTTGAATACATTTTATGAATATCAAGTGCTATCAAAATTAAAATATTTTACGAATGCGGAATTCTAAATAGTTTTAGATATATTTTCTCTCTCGCACACACATATTATATATCTTGTACAATTATATTCTTGTACATTTATATTATTAACATTATGCGAATACAAAAATTCACATTTTTAAGTTCCATTTTTTTTATTTAACGCAGAATATTGATTTTTATTCTCTGTTTACAACGGAAATCAGTCTAATCTTCTTTCGTAGGACATATTCCTATAGAATTTTTCTTACCGTCACTCTTAAATATTCCTATCAAGCTACTTCTTAATCTGGCATAAATTTCTTTGCGAACAGTCGCCGTAAATTTTGTTACTAGACAACTAATCGCTGCCGTAGCGAAGATTAAATTATAAAATAGTACTAATTTGAAATTACCAAGCCATTCAATACGACCGAAATCGCCGAGCAAATCAAAGTTCGTCATACCTGAAATAAAAAATGCATTATTTATAAAATTATTATAAAATCAATGATAAATTTATTTATTTGAATTCATTTCGAATTATTAAAAAATAGAGTTACCTAATATTCTAGACAACAATGGTAACGCTGAACTCAATACAAGAAGAAGAGCACAATTTGCAATAAGGTGAATAAGAGGTGTGGAATGAAGTCGAGGTCGAACGCGTTTAACACCAGGAAGTGTGTACAAACCTATTGCGCTCGTAGCAGCTAGATACAAAATTACTGCTACTTCAATTGCTGCTCCAATAGGACCTAATTTCGATAATGAGCTGATACCTAGAGTGAATTGCTAAGAATTCGTTAAACATATTATTGTTTGATTATACAATTCAAAATAAAAATTTCATTCCTTTCTTATGTAATTGATATGTAGTTTGGATACTAACCCTTGTACTCAAAGGTAATGCTTTAATACCAATCAGCAATTCTAATGTGTTTTGAACTGCTAACAAAGCTGTGGCAGTGGAAAGTATAAGTAATGCTAACATGGCCAAAGGATACAGCAAAGTTCGTCGAACCCACCACGTTCGCCTTTGCTGATCCAAAATATTTCTTCGTTTTTGAATATTTTTCAAATACTGAGCTAATCCATGCTGGAGAGCACCATTCCTTAAGCACATTAAGTTTGGATTTGCGTTAAGAAATTCATCATCTTCGAATATTAAACCACAAGTTAATATCGACATAGGCACTGGCGAAACGTATGATTTCCCCGTCGCTTTCGCATGTTGTAATCTATACATGCAATAACGTTCTTATAAAGTAATGAGTTTAAAATTTAAAGATTGTGAAAATAATAATAAATGATTGACCTTCTATGAATACAATCTTCCTCTAATCTATATGCAGAGAATTCTTCATCTAAATTCTTTAGGAACTGCGGTTTTACGAGAAATGAGCCAACTACTCCAAATAACTGTACAAATCCCATTGGTGTACATACTGCAAGAATAAATTATGATTTTATTATTATTTTAACGAAATATGGATGTTTTTTTATATTTTTAATAAGTTTATATTATAGTAATTTTTTAGGATTTAATTTATTAAACTTACGCAATAACATAACAACTCCAACAAAAGAAACGCAAGAGTAAAGAAAAGGCAAATAGTAACTCCATAAATCTAGAAGATATTATATAGAAGATATTATAATTTTATTATAATTATAATTTTTATACATTTATTTTTAAAAAATTGTATATTCTTTATATACATACTGAGCAATGTATGTAGGCTAGATTTCTGATAATCTATTAATGCTGATAAAACATATGTCATTCCTAATACAAGTGTTCCTAATAAACAAAGAACTGTCACAGTTTCATAAACTCTAGCCATTAAACCCTGCAATTAAAAAATTAAAAATTAATTTTTTCTGAAAAACTTAATCTATAAATTTATTGATTTTACAATTTTATCAATTTTTTATTTTTATTGATCTTACCTTTCTATATCCAATAAATCCTTCTGACTCGGTGAATAAGTATGCAAACGGTAAAAATACGAAGAGAGACAAATTTGAAAAGAGGAATACATGATTCCACAGACCTAATTATTAAAAAGTTGGTTATAATTATATTTTTATATATTTTTAAATGATTTCTATTATTTAAAAAAAAATTAAAGAATTCTTCTTATTTCTTTTTCCAAAAATTATAATACAATAATGGATAAATTTTTTTATAAATGACTCATGCGTTTATACCTTGTATAAGTGAGCTATTGAGCCACTTAACATAATAACTGTTCGGATATAATATCAACACTTCGTTGCTTGCAATCGAAACCGGAAGCAGCAAGGTTGCTCCGACAGAAACCGCCAGAGCAACGGTACATAACCAAAGACTGATTCTGTAGACCGTTGCTTCATCTTCATCCACGGAAAAATAATCTTCACGGTCTCTTCGTCGAAACTTCGCAATTAAGGCGTAGCTTGAAACATAGAGAATCAGGAACAAAAGGAAGAATATCTGTAATGTAAAATATATTTCTTTATATTTTTATGCTTTCATAATTATAATAATTCTTCAGT